ATGTGATTTAACAGATAACCACTTTGTCAACTTAAAGAAAAACACACAACATAAGGGTTGTTTGCTGAAGTTTTACTCAGGGTCTTATTGAGGATAATAGTCCAGGAGACAGCCACTCGGTTACTTCTGAGGAAACTGCTTCAGAGAGGTAGGGGAGAGTCCTGTTTATGTGACTTATGGTGAGGGAATACACGTAGTCAAGCACACATCTCGGTAAAAGATTATTGCTGATTTCAAAGAACAGGTATCTTGAGTTCATGATTAAGTGCTTTCCTGTGTATGGAAAGATGAAAGCATCTGGTTTGTTAAAGTTCTTCCTGGGACTTCCCAGGTGTCCCAGTGGCTAAGACTCCATGCTTCCAATGCAGGGGATACAGGTTTGATCCCTGGTTGGGGAACTAAGATCCCACACGTTGCACAGCCAAAAAAAAAAAAATTCCTTCCTGAGATATACATCTAAGTTTCTCAGGGGCCTGCTCGTCCAAAGCTCAGAGTACCTAATTTTGTTTTTCACCCTGAATTCCTCTCAGGGTGTGACTGCAGTGTGTTACTACTTAACCTTAGTAGGTGAGCAATGTTTTTTGATCTTCATTCACAACTTAGATTTAAGTTTTTAGAGGCCTAAAAGATGGACTGGGAATTGATATTTCACTATGCTTCCGGTCCTTGGTAGCCTCTAAATAGTGTCTCAAAATTCTCTGTACCATTATCTAGGAATACCAAGGAATAAGATCTGGAATTGTATTCATAAGACACAGGAAGCTAATATGGAATGAATTGCAAGGGCCAACATTAAGTCTGTACAGTGTGTTTCAATTCTCTTAGTCTTCTTAACGTGGTTTACTAAATGTGGATGCTGGATACTAAATGTAAGTGCTGGATATTTCTCTCTCTCTCTCTCTCTCACACACACATCCAATTTTCCCTGTATAAAAGAAAGACAGAAAAGGTCCCACTTCCCTTCTTGCCCCACCCTCTGTGGCCCCCCAAAACAGACTCTCCAGGTTTAGACATGTCATTCTCAGACCTACCCAGTGACTAGACGACAACAGCTCACTCTGGACACTGGCGCAGTTGTGCTGAACTTTCCCTCCATTGAGAGAACCAGAGGAAACTGACTGAGCTTCAGTTGAGAACGTCACCATCTCAAAGATTGCAGGTGACATGATAGATGCAACTTCACCCATGTAAGCGTAGTGTGTGGACAGAAATCTTCCCTGTGTATGTGTCCCCTCCTCTTGCTCCTGCCTCTCACAGCCACTCCAAAGCAGGAAGGAAGGGAGCAGGTCACAACCTTTAGAACAATGACATGGCTACAGAACAGGACAAAAACTGGTTAGAACCAACTAGGTCCAAGATGGCAGAAGATTTGATTTCTAGTAGACCTGGAGCCTCGTTAATATGCTCATTATAATACATTAGCATATGCTAAACAACACACTCACCAGCACCATGATAGTTTTGAGGCTAACCATGGTTATTGTTGTTCTTTAGTCACTAATTGTGTCTGACTCTTTTGAGATCACAAGGACAGTAGCCCACCAGGCTCCTCTGACCATGGAATTTCCCCAGGCAAGAATACTGGAGAGGGTTGCCATTTCCCTCTCCAGGGCAACTTTCCAATACAGGGATCGAACCCACATATCTTGCATTGCAGGCAGATTCTTTACCACTGAAGAAAAGGATCAGCCACAAGGGAAGTTTGAGGCTGACTGTACAAGGCCAAAAAACGGGTAGTGGCTCCATTTCTGCCATTTCTGGAAATCTCTGCCCCTTCCCCAAAATAATTGGAAAAATATCCCCATTCACTAGCCTATGAAATTATCCAGCCTATAGAAACTAACCATGCCTTATTTCAAGGCTCTCTTTCTCACCTTCTGAGAGAAGGCTTATACTCTTTCTATGGAGTGTGTTTCTCTCTAAATAAATCCACTTCTTACCTATCACTTCATCTTCAAATTCTTTCACAACAAAGCAAGAACTTTAAATTCATTCAATGTCAACAACTCCACCTGAACTGCCCATCTCTGCCATCAAAAAGGAGGTGGGCTTATTTTTTACTGGCTTTGTTCCCATTCAGACCCCAGACAGAGTGTCTAGCTATATTTGACTTAACCTGATTTTACTTAGACAAAGTTTGTAAATCAGAATACTCTTCTAGTTTGTTTTTGCTGAGTGGTAAAGTTATCTTTGAAATCATGATCACCTTTACCATCTAAACTGTAAACAAGTATAAGGATGGGAACAGTTTCTTTCATTTCCAGAGGAAGAAAAACTATCTCAAGGAAATTTGATTTCAGGCACATCTAATTTATTCCATTGCTTCATCTAATTTATTCCAATCTCCAACAATTAGATCAAAATAAACTGAACTCTTAAGAAATAGTCACACAAAGATATTCATCAGCCGCATTTATCTGCATAAACAATAGTATACTAAAACCAGGTCATGTGCAGAAAAAGACTCAGGCTTTGTAATGACTGTGTCACTGATGATGCATTACTATAGGCAATCACCAAATCTTTCTCATGATACAGCCTCAAGAGCAGTGGCACTAAATTGAGGTCAACTTCAGCCATTAAATTCAATCCCTGGGTAGGGAATATCTCCTGGAGTAGGAATTGGCAACCCACTCCATTTTCTTGCCTGGAAAATCCCATGGACGGAGGAGCCTGGGGTAGCAAAGAGTCAAGACACGACTGAGCGACTTCACTTTCACTTTTTTTTTCAGCTACTAAGGCAATGTCTGCAGACATTTTATGTTGTTATGGCTAGGGGAGGGGGCAAACTGGCATCTGGCAGGTGGAGGGCAGGAATGCTGCTAAACATTGTCCAATCTACTGAAGGGCACCAGAATATGTTACCCCAAATATCCCACTTTGGCATAAGGATTATTTTGAGCTAAAGACAACTGAGAACCGGCAGAGGCAAGGAAAGCTTTTTAATCTCTCCTTAACTGAGTAAAAATAAAAATTTCACCATTTGTAAAGGAAATTTACATCCATAAAAGGAAATTTCCACTTGTAAAGGTGTCTCTGAACCAGGAAAAGAGCCACAGCTGGAGACAACTCTTATTGTCATCATCTGCATAAGACAACCCTTGTTTATGATATATTTTCTCCCCTTCCCTTCCTAGAACTTAATGCCCTCTGCCCAGAAGCCCTAAACTCCTTTCTCTTTGTCTAAGATGGTATATAAATCTCAATCATCCGGTCACTTCCTAAAGTCTCATTTCTTTGTGAAACTTCTGTTCAGATGTACGTAAACAGGTTTTATTTTTGTCATTAATCTGTCTTTTCTCAGCTTGATTTGCAAGCCCCAACCACTGAACTTAGAAGTGTATAGAAAAAAAGTTTCTCCTCCCTACAGAAGAGGACAGTCTTCCACAACAAAAACTTATCCAGCTTCTAATGTAAATAGTACTAAGGTTGAGAAACTCTGTTCTATATTGACAGGTAGAAATCGAAAGCACTAAAAGTCAGTGAGGTGTTTGGCAGCTTAGTAGTGTAAGTGAAGTCAAACCAATTCTCCTTTATGACTGTGAGTCTTGGAAAAAATACCAAAAACTACAGTCCTTCAAACTATGCTCAATAAAATGACTCTGCAGGATCAAAAACAGGGTTTTTATTCCTATGTCCACCAGCTGCAGAATTGAGAGTGCTACATCGCTGCTCTGCTAGTAGGGCCCCTATTTTGGTTAAACTACAAGGAAGAAGAAATCATGAAAGATTCACTAAATTACAGTGCCAGTGACCCCTGTGTTAAGGGTGTTAGGAAATTAAGGGACAGAAAAATTTTTGAATAAAAAGGTATTCGATAGTCCACAGGGTAGAATTAGTGCCAGTATGAATCAGAGGAGGGCTCTGTGGGGACTTCCTGGGTACAACTTCTTTCCTTGTCTCCATTTTCCTGTTCGTAGGGTATAGGCTTCATTCAGCCTCCTTGACCTTCCCTGAATTCCAAAGGGCAGATTCAATTTCTCATCAGAGAAGGGAAGGAATGCAGAAACTAAGGAGGACCCATCAAGAAAATACAGTGCAGTGATTAAAGCAGGATCCTGGTTCCTTCTGAAGGGACATACATAACAATATGCTTGAGTTCTTCTGCAGGAACAAAGGGCTTCCCAGGTGGCACTAGTGGTGAAGAACCTGTCTGCCAATGCAGGAGACATAAGAGACATGGGTTTGATCCCTGGGTCAGGAAGATTGCTTGGAGAAATCTGCACTGCCAACCCACACCAGTATTCTTGCCTAGAGAATCCCCAGGACAGAGGAGCCTGGCAGGCTACAGTTCATAGGGTCACACAGAGTGACTGTGTGACTAAACACGCATGCAGAAACTAAACGCCCCACCCCGGTGGGGGATGGGAACCTCAAGGCGAGCACACGGTTCTTGGAGCACAGCCTTGTTACCTCACCAACAGCCAGTCAGAAGAAAGTCTGCATGTGTGGGAAGATAAAGAAGACTCTGCCCTCGTCCCCAAATGATCCTCCTTTTAAACACTTTAATGGTTGAGCGGCATCTTTGGAGTTGGTTTTTGGACATGAGTCCACCACCTCCTCACATTGCCAGCCTTATGAATAAAGCAGGCTTTCCGTTCCAATCAACACTTGTCTCTGGAGTGTTGACTTTCAAGCAGTGAGCAGCCTAACATGAGTTTGGTAGCAAACAGGCTTGGTGAGAAGCAGGTATTGCTGCAGATCCAGAGACTGTCCTCCTGAATAAGGAGTGGGCAGGAAGCACCTGCCTGCCTCCAGCCCCGAGCTGGCTCCTTCTGTGAGATGAGAGGCAAGTCTCAAACCTCCTCTGTAAGATGAGGGGCGGTCCTGTGCCCTGTAGGACCCCCTCCAGCTCTGTCATTCTCAGCGATTTCCTTACCACATGCTCCAGCACACGAGGACTCGGACAACTCTGTAGCAGGATGCCAGGGAGGTATATTTCTTGATCTGCAGCATACCTGGTAATGGCAGAGGAAATAAAGAAGAAAAGGAACACGAGCAGTTTTGCATAAATGGGAAACCCTTTAATTTGACAATCAGGCATTCAACAGACATTTATTTACTGAGCATCCCGTCTGAATAAGGCATACAGAGTTCCATATTTTCTTAAAAAAATTTTTTTAAGCAAATCTGAGAAGTTCTCTGCAAGTTATGTCTGAAGATTTACAGCAGCTAACTTTCAATTCCACCACCAAAGCCCCTCGCTGCCTCCACACAGGATGGATGGGTCTCCGCCAGCTCTCTCTCTCCAGGTGGTGCTGACACAGCACATATCTGAATGTTCCTCTCGGTGGGAAACAGAGATGAAAATTCTATACTTATCTCTCAACCTGCTACTATGACTTTCTTCACAGCCTTGGTGTTTCAAGGATTTAAAGTTAACTCTTCTCTTAGAGAACAGATGCGAGCAAGTAAACTCAAAACTGCAACGCCCCGTTCTCTTGCTGTAGCCGGGTTCTTGTCTCTGTAACTGCTGCCCACTGCCCTCTGTAACTGCTGGCTGCCGGTACACCCCGTGCTGTGGAGAGGGATGTGTCAACTCCCCTGGTTACATCTTCAAAAAGGCCACCTGGAAAAGGAAGAAAAACCCACAGTGCTTTCCTTATATAACGTGATGAAATTGCTGAGCGCACATCAAACCTGGATCAGGTAAGTCTGGTCAGTAAGGATGCTTGCTGGTCTACAAAGAAAAATGACTCCTGGTTGGGCCAGACACTGCTATTTTACAGAGGGAGCCAATTAGTCCATTCATAAATAAATCATGCAGTAATTAAAGTAACTCACGTGTACTTTAAAAAATTAAGTTTAAATTGACACTAACATTGTACTGCCATGAAGTAATCCAGTTCTCGTTCCCACTGGTTCAAACAGCTGCTGTGGATCTTCTGTGAACAGAGTTCCAAATCCTGAAGACTTCTGGACAATTCCAGATTCTTGTCATGATTGTTAATTATATTAATCTCTTTTCCGGTCATGACAATGCTTTTAACCACATTCGACTATATGCATGGGCTTGTCAGCGCAAGTTATCTTAAAATTCAGTTGTTTCAAAAAATTTAATTCATATAGATACAAAATCATTTCAGACTATTTAATAAGGCCCAGATCAAATGCATCAATTTCTCAATAGTTTTGGATAATTACGAAACAAACATAATAAAGTCAACCATAAATGCTCTGAAAGTTCTAGTTCAGGGCTGATAATAAATTGCGGACAGTGCCAGCATCTGGAAAAGAGCAGCATGCAGTCAGAGATAAAGATGTGGAAGTTTGTCCTAGGCAATTTTTGGGGGGAAAGAGTGAGCAACTGAAGTGAAAATATTCCACTCTTGGACAGCTGGTACTTAAGTCCCCAAACGCAGTCGAAGGAGGCATGTATTTAATGAGCCATGTTAAGAGGAAAGGAAAAGGAAAGAGTCGTGCAAGGGCAGAAGGCATCTGCTTTATGTCAAGTGATCCAGAAGGATGTTACTCTTCATACGATGCTGGTGAGAAAAGCCCCTGCTGCGTTTCCGTATCAACTTCCAGCTGAGTTTCTCTATCAAGTTCTGCAGTGAGAACAAAGTTGAAGGAGCAAGCAAAGAAGAGAGGTTAAGATTCTTAAGCAAAATATAAACATGGGGTAGGGAGGAGACAGATAGCAGAGTAGAAGGACATGAGCTCACCTCTTCTTATGGAAAATGTAAATGTGGACAACCAGTGCAAACCTCAAGGACTTAAGAGTCAAGAGTCTGTGATGATAGTTATGAAAACACTTGTGTTTCTCTCCCTGGCCTCTCAGCTGGTAACAGATATTAGAAGGCCATGAATATTCAGATGAGAAGGGGCTGCTGAAGAGAGACCAGCTGGGCCCTTTAGGGGATGATCAGAGATTCCCAGGAAGGGGTTCCAGGGGTTACCGAGTCTGACTTCTGGCTCACTGTGGTCACTCTGCTTCTTCAACAACAGTTCATAGGGACCTTCCCAAGAAGCCAATGCCACTGCTGATACTCAGAGACACAAAGATGACAGATGAAAGCCATTTATCCCTTTTTGAATTCTGAAAGCTGCTACATCATGGAGTATTCCAACCAGGAACTACTTAGATAGAATAACTGATGGTGACAAATGTCATAAAAATGGTTAAGAACTTTCGCCCTCTACTTGGGACAATTTTGCCCACCAGGGTACATGTGGTAGTGTCTGAGGATTTCTTTTTTTTTTTTTTGTCATGGCATGCAGAATCTTAGTTCTGGGACCAGAGATAGAACCCATGAACTCTGCTGTGGAAGCAGAGTCCAACTGCTGGACCACCAGGGAAGTCCCTGGAGATATTTTTGGCTGTCACAGCTTGGGGGATGCTAAAGGCATCCCGTGGGTAGAGAGGGAGGGATATTCTGATAATGCACAGGACCGCTCCCCATAAGAAAGAATAATCAGCCTGAAAGCATTAACAGTACCAGTGTTGAAAAATGTTGAAGTTTAGAGTTAAATCTCTCCGTGACCTTAAACAAGAAGTTTAGAGTTAGATCTCTCTGTGACCTTCAACAAGCTCATTAAACTCTATAACAGGACCTACCAGAAACTTGTAAAACACTTTCCTATTTCGATTCTTTTCATCCTCAGCTGTCTTATGATTTAGGTAAAGCAGACATCTGAAAAACTTTGTTTTACAAATGAAGAAACAGAAGCTCAGAAAACCTAAGTGACTTGCTCAGGATAAAAAGTAGTAGTGATGGGTTTAGGAAGAAATTCTGATTTCTAATCCATGCTTTCCCCACTATAAGTTTACAAATAGATGATCAAGATAAAACTGCACAGGTTGGGGGACTTTAAGTCTTCAAATTGTCTCATATATCAAAGAGTTACTTTCTTTTGCATGCTTGTGAACACGGATGCAAGATGGAGAAAACTACATAAGAGGCTGCGCTCATTAAAACAAACAATGCAAAATGGAGCCCCTCAGTCAAAAAAGAAAAAAATTTTAATTTGACCTACCATGTCTTTTTATTTTTTCTTATTTGTTTTTATAGTGCCGCCTGCCAAGGACACTATGTGTTTCTCAGGACTTAATAACAAGAAACTGCAATCATCCTTGGGAACAGGTACTGTACAATGTAGTTTAGCTTCTTTTTATTTAAAACATTTTGAGATAACATATTTCAAATGCAGATTTTGTATTCCCTAGCTTTTATCCGTGACAGGAAAAATTGCTTTCCCTACCTGCCATTTATTTTAAGAGAGGGTAATTTTATTTTGTTCCATTACACTGAGAAAAATCTCTGTATTTCATCTTTTTAGTTTTATTCCCCAAAGTAAAAAGTTTTAAAGCTTTGCAGAGTCTCTGAGCACAGCTACAGCTTCGGGCCCCACTGTCGCATGTCTAGAATATCTAGTCACAAAGTATAAGTGATGATTGGAAGCGAGGGAGATAGGGCTCTTTGCGGCTGGCTGTAAGGTCTCACCCTCTTCGTTTTCTCCTCCTGAAAGTGGACACTTGGGAATGGAACAGGGGAGAGAGAGGGAAGCTGTCTAAAAATACGGTCTCTGCCTTGCGTCACCATCTAAAAACAATCTTAAGCCACCATAAGCAGGGCCAGGCTGCAGTAATAGCTGACCAAATGTTCAGTTTATAATGCTTCTGTACAATTGCGTAAATATGCTAAACACTTTTGAATGCTCTTTTTGTCTTAGTTAACAAAATTATACTATGAAATTCTATTCCTCAGCCATAGAGCTGGAATTTCAATCAATAGAAAGACATGCTGTCAAGGCAGCCTGCACAAGATAAAATTAACATTTTAAAAAATGCTACATAAATGCTTTGAGGTGCACAAAACAAGACAGATAAAACTGTAAAATACTGGAAAATGTGAGTTTCATAGTAATAGTGAGCTTCAGAAAAGACTCTTCAGAATAAGTAGCACAGCTATACACAAACGTTCCTTTTAAAGAGTACTGTAGACTTAAAAAATAAATATAAAAAACTATGCCTTAAATATATTTTTTGTCTAGGTATGGTTCATGTTCAAAGTTATGTTCTGAAATAAATGTTATGACATGGAAACAAACTTTAATATTATAAAATCCAGTTTCTAGGCTCAAGCTTCATTTACAAAATAAAATATACAATATAAATGTAAATATAAAAATAATGAAAGAAAATGGCTTTTTCAATCACATTATTTTGAGTCTTAAATAACAACAGGGTACTAATTTAGCATCGATCAGGCCTGTGTTGATGACACGTGGACTCCACTCTGCACTGAATAAATAATATGAAATTTTCCTCTACTGGGCTGGTAAGCTGACTTCATTCACTCAATTCATTCAATGATTAAATACCATCTATAAGTCTGTGACTGTCCAGTCAGAAAACAACTGAGAAGGCATTCCCTCGTGGCACTAACATGTGAATGGCGGCGATAGTCAAGTAATGAGATGATTCTAATAGGTTGGGATAAGTCTAGGATGGACGCCTAACATCTGATGACAGAAAAAAGACCATTCTTGGGTTATGAAAGGAAGTAAGATTTCTCAAGCAGTAGCCTGAATGATGTAGTTATTACTCTAATTAGGAAAACTTGTGTGGTAATAAAGCCTGGCATGGCACAGAGTGGGATATACCAAAGCAGCTGGCTTTGCTAAATGAACTACTAGCAAACAGGAAGGATGAAACAAAGGACCAAAGATGTGAGAAGCAATACAATAAGAAAGAGGATCCTATCCCTCTAAAATGACAATAAGTATGTGTACACTGAATGTGGACAGGAATACTAGACCAAGGAAACATTAGTGAGGCCTTCCAACTCAAATTCTGTAAGAGCCTTTAGAAAGTAGGAAAAAAGCAAGTAAAACCAGTGTCCTTAATGTCACTTAAACCTTTACCTTGTATTTTAAATAAAATCGTATTTTATTTAGGTCATGGTACACTAGGAAAACAATACAATGAGAAAGACTAAAGATCTCTTCAAGAAAATTAGAGATATCAAGGGAAACTTTCATGTAAGAATGGGCATAATAAAGGACAGAAATGGTAAGGACCCAGCAGAAGCAGAAGAAAGTAAGAAGAGTGGGGCAAGAATACACAGAAGAACTATACAAAAAGATCTTCATGACCAGGATAACCACAATGGTGTGATCACTCACCTAGAGCCAGACATCCTGGAGTGCGAAGCATCACTATGAACTAAGCTAGTGGAGGTGATGGAATTTCAGCAGAGCTATTTAAAATCCTAAAAGATGATGCTGTTACAGTGCTGCACTCAATATGCTAGTAAATTTGGAAAACTCAGCAGTGGCCACAGGACTGGAAAAGGTCAATTTTCATTCCAATCCCAAAGAAGGGCAATGCCAAAGAATGCTCAAATTACCACACAATTGCACTCATTTCACATGCCAGCATGGCAATGCTCAAAATCCTTCAAGCTAGGCTTCAACAGCACATGAATGAAGAACTCCCAGATGTACCAGCTGGGTTTAGAAAAGGTAGAAGAACCAGAGATCACATTGCCAACATCTGTTGGATCACAGAAAAGGCAACAGAATTCCAGAAAAACATCTACTTTTCACTGACTACACTAAAGCCTT